TGAAATACGCTACAACGGATTATCGACTCGTCGTGCCAAAATTCGTTCGCTCGATGGTAGGCGAAGTTACCGCGATATGTTACTTAAATGGTGATACCGAAACTACGATGTAAAGTGAGACATTTTTCACTCGTGCCCGCGTGTGAGATATAGCGCGTCATAGTGTGCACATCGCATTTGGCCGAGTTCCACGCGTCCGCAGGATTCTCCGTTCGCAATTTTCGACGGAATATAACGCGTCGACATGGCGCAGTGAGCGATTACGTTACAAATACACAGACGCTAATAAACTTTTGTCATCCAATTAATATCACGAGTAGTAGTATTAATAAACATTTTCCTCGTTACGAAAGGCAACGTACAGTTACTCGATGATTCACTCGATAAGTGAAAAATGATCTTTTTATATTTACGACTCTTCATTATTTGTGATTTTTTTTTTTCGTACAAAATAATTTAAACTCATAAAATAATCCCAGATTATAGCAAAGAAAAAGAATTATTTCCGATTGATATAATTAAAACTTAAGGTAATAAGTGTTTAAAAAGTCAGATTTAAAAATTGGAGAATAAAACATAAGAAGATAAAAAGGATAAAAAGGATAAATATAATCGGAAAAGATTCTGAAATGTTGCAGATTAATAGACGCAACATAATCTCTAATTTAACAATTAAAAGATTACAGGTATCAAGAACTCAAACTACAAGAATCTTAAAACATAAAGACTTAATAAGGAAATTTTTTAATTTTAAAACTTATTAAACCCAAAAGATAGTCTTAATCTTCATTTGAAGAATCCAAGATTTAAAAGACTTAAGACGTAAAAGAATCTATATATTTAAGATCAACGGTGAGTCTGCTGAGAATTTAATTGTAAGATTTAAGAAGCTTCCTGTAAAATTGTTGAATCTAGGAATGAGGAATGAAAGGATTTGAAATCCGACGTTAAAAAATATGTCAAGAAAATAAAAAAATTTTTTTTTTTTTTGAAATATTCCAAGCTTAAAAAATTCAAATAATTATGGTAATGAAAAGTAGAAGATCTAAAATATCGACAATTTGAAATATTTAAGCAATTTCTTAACACAATTTAATATTATTTACATTTACTTAACGTCCTCTTTATCTGGAAATATCTCAACTACAGTTATTTGAATTCTTCATCGCATTGTTGCAATTTCATGAAATTTTCAATTCATGGATCGTTACGTTTCCTATAAAAAAAAAACCCCCCTATACAATATTTCAATTTTAGAACCTTGGTTTTTAGAATCTTTGATTTTTGAACCGACAGGACTCCATTCACGCTGGAAAGAAACTTTAAGAAAAGAGGGAAGGAAAGAGTAATACGTCTAGAGTTGAAGGGGACTGCGGCAGAAGCGAAGAAAGAGCGAAGTTGGCTGAACTCTGATTATGGCGCGAAACGGGGACAAGTCGAGATGAAGTCGAAGTAGAGGAACCCGACCACACCGAGAAGAAGAGGAACCCGACGAAGGGATGAATTCTCCCGTTCGCGCTGTCTCAATCTATCGTGCCTCGCGTACGCGCTCACGTCTAACCAGAACGCGTTACTTACGCACGCCTACCAGAAAGCCTTCTTACATACGTCACTGCAGCGCGCAGAATGCATTTCATCAAAACTTGCGGCTTCCGTCTTGCCATCGACCGTATGCCCTATTCACTACCCGTACCGTGAATCAGCCTCTCAATCTCGGATATCGCATAGCCGAAGACTTGCTATGCGGACATACTCCGTGTGCATGAGCGAGACCATTTACAGCATGAAATAAGTTTCCAACTACTTGAAGTAATCTTACGAACAGCTACGTGCGGTGAAAGTCCAAGAATTTTCCTTGGTTTTAGTAACGATAGTTAATCTGTATGTAAGAAAGAAAGAGAGTTGGAATGTTAAACATTCTATAAATACATGGAATAATCCTATAAATCATATAGATGGAACGTATGGTTGACATAAACTTGTAGTTATTTTTAATTTTATACAATTTTATTTAAATTAGAATCTGGAAATTCTTGTTCTACACTTTTCTTGATATGACAACTGGCGTTGTAACATTATTGTATGAAGCATCTTCACATGGAAAAGAACATGTTTATTTAATTACAACTCCCGACTGTTGAATTAAAATTTAATGTCAACTACATGTAACTCTGCGTTTTAAGGAATATTATTGAACTGAAGATGGCCAGATCGTGGCTGAAACGTTTAATGTTTTAATTAATGTAATAATAATTAAAATATCACAAACTATAATCTGTGCTTGTGTTTTAAAATTATAACCACGTTAGTTTTCAAGATATATTTTTAACGAATTGTTATGATCATATTATTATTATTATTATATATACATATGTATACATGGAAAGGATAACTTTCATTATCAAAGCATTTAAAACTTTAACTGATGTGTGTAGATCTGAAAATAACTATATTGTATCTAGAGAGGTGTAGTTAAATTTTTAAATACTTGAGCAAAATCATTTTTTTCTCTCCAAGTTAGATTACCTGCACTTACTTATACCGTTAATTAAATCCCGCACATACTCAGCCTTGTACTTTCATTAATAATCTTACGTTGCGCCGCCGTTTTCATACATTATGCTATGAATATTAAGATGTTGATAAATGATTTCACGCGATGATAGCAGAAGCGATTGCGCATTACCTCGTCCGTCGAATCTCGCCATATATTTCTTGAAGAGGGAACACGGAGTGTACACATGCGAGGCACGTAATCCGCGTTTCGCCGTTGCGTCGGGAAAGATAAATCAGGCGTCTTATGTACGTAAGCAGAACAAATTTCATTCAATCGAAATCGCGCGGGTATGCGTCGTGTGTTTGTTACCTGCCTGCATTTATCAATAGAACACATTTGCATTCCGGGCTCTTCGCGCCGATGCCAGGTCGGGGCGGAGGGATTATTTTTCCAATACGGTACAAATACAAGAGGCGTATTTTCGAAAGAAAATACGGAATATGAGATTGAACGCGGGTCCTCTTCGAAGAAGAACGTTCCGTTCGAGAACGATATCGTCTTGCTTGTAGAACCGCAAAAATTTTTCTACGGTATTCTCGTGAAACTCGAGCTTGTTCAAAATTACTTACAACAAGCGCAAAAAGAAAATGAGGCAGAACACAGTCTTCCGTTAAGCGAAACATCAGTCGTCATCGAAATTATCTTTGACCCGAGAAGTCATCTGGAGTATTTTTACACCCCAGGAAATAAAAACATGTGAATTTGTTTAATGTATTTCTTTTCTTTTTAATAACCATGTCGAATTATCAATTACTGATTAAATATTAATTAGTAATTTCGTTGGAAACCTGCAGTAAAATAGCGTTCTATCAATTAAACTCTTCATTTCTTAGAAATACAATTATAATAAGCTACTTAACATGTTTATTTCGTTTAATATTTCTTTGGTTTTTACATTTTTTTTCGAAAATTGCGATTGAAATATGAAATTCATACCCGCAATGTCCTCAATTATTAATAAATCGGAAAACAATCGATAATACGCAATATGTTGTTAATAATATAGTGATTTTAATTAGAGTGTAAAAACATTCGCGTGACCGTTTATGAAATGAGGAAAAAGCAAGTGACTACCTCCCAGTTGGTTATCTTCGAAAATGTAATTGCAAGACTGCAGACACGTAATTATGTTTATGCGCTTGAAAGATTGTATATATGCTAAGCTACGCGCTTAAGGGTTGAACAACATTACGTGCTTCGTGTAACCGCCGAAGCCAAAGATATATCGCGTTGGAGAGTTTATTCCAGAAGTGTCTGAAACTTCTTGCAGTGCGCTTCGGCACTAACCACGAGAGCTCACAAAGGCATAATGAGCACGTAAATCGTCAGAAACTTGTAATCCGCTTTGAAGTCGGCGCGCGCGGGTGAATCGCGACATGGCGGCTGCACGTAAATTCCGTCGGCCGTTTATGCAAATTATCGGCGGGCCACAGGGTTAATACATTTTCGCGTGCGTGCGTGCAACGCGATATCTATAACGATTCGATAGCTCGGCTACGTTCGAGCTCTCCGAGTATATTTTCCAGCGAATTTACAGCATTTGCATACTTCGGGAATATTTAAACGCGGAAACCCCCGCGGCGGGTTACCGTTGGAAAAACAGGAATTTCACTGTTGAGCGAGAACGCCCGCCATGTTTCCGCGCGATGTGGAAGATCGAAACGATGAGGTCCCGTTTAACCCCCGCCGCGCTGCCAATTCAACACAGAACCGCGCAAATCTTCTCTCGTTAATTTTAACTTATTGAACGTTTCCATTGTCCAACAAATGGACAGTATTTTTTATTATGATTGAATTGATGAAAAGTGAGCATGAAACGATGTCTGCAACGTGTGATTTAACAGTTTAAATATTAAAATTATTTAAATATTTATTAGAGGCACTGGTTCCTCTTCGAAACTGTTTATAAATGTACATTAATATTTCACATATAATATGGGATACTATTAATATGCCTTCGATTAAAGTTATTTATGTATTCTACATACTACACAAGTGAAATATATTAGATAGCTTCAATTCCTTAATGAAAAATACTCCTGCATATCAATAAATAATTAAAATCATGTGCTGAAAAATATATATATTTTAATTCAGTTAAGAAATTTGTTCACGAAAATATAATATTAATAAGCGTTACATTTTATTATATAATCTGAAATAAAATATACATGATTATTTACCTTTTAATGATTTTTATAATTAATGCTTTAATAAATATGATATTCTTATTTTTACTTGATATATATATATCATTTCGTTTTTCTCGTTATATTATACTAAATAAATATTAATAATGTCCTAAGAAGATAATTAAATATGTATTTCGAAAATGTTGCGATTTTCTGATTGCAGAGAAAATATGTTACAAAAAAATATAAATAATAACAACGTGTGAATGTATAAAAAAGAATTGATAATAATTGTTATTATTAAAACTCACCATTTAGAAATAAGGACTCCTTGAAATTGGTGGAATCAAAAGAGAAAAGACTTGACGCACAAATTTGACACACATTTTTCCAACAACCACTAGAAACGCACAAACACACAAATGCAGACTCACTCCTTTTACGTACGATTGACAACGTGTGCCGAGATACGATAGCCGAAAGTTGAGTTAAATTAACTTAATTAACACGCAAACTTTTGATTAATCTCCGAACTGTACACTGCACAAGTTTACGACGCGATGAATCTTCTTTATCCTAACATTTCATCTTCTTCGCCAGTTAATCTGTTCCCCTCATTCATGGGCAGGGCAAACAATGTAATAGCGATCCGATATCGTTGATATATTACTGTATTGCGTTTCGTTAATCGCACGAACAGTATCTATCAGTAGAAACATCAAATATTTAAACTCTTCGTTGATATTCTTTACTTTTTAAAATCCATTTTGATGTCTATCAACAATTCAATTAATTAGGGTATTAATTATACATTTCACAGTCTGCAATTTTTAGACATTTATCTCTTCCTCGCCTCGAACGTAGCTGTTGCGAATATATTTCGTTCCGCCGCACATCTTTCGACTTCGTCGAATCGAAAAAAAAAAACTTCTTTCCGTGTTTTATCGATATCTTCGACACTGTATCACACTTCGATCAACGTCGTCGCCGGATATTCGAATAGCGCGAGCCTGCATCTTCCGGTCTGCGTTCACCGGAAGTGAGTCCGAGGGGATGTTTCAACCTTCGCAGGGGGGGACGTTTCAACATTCGACGACGCTTCCGCGCGCATTCCGCTCGCAGCCGCAAATCGCGTTCGGTGAACGCGGCGCCACGACGCCGAGTAGCGCGACACGACGCCCGGATTATCTCGAGCCGCGAACGCGTCGTCGTTCGACACCCCTACGGGAAACGGTGCGACGACGCGGGGCCACCCTCGGACGGTGAACCGGCACGACGCGACGCGACGTATGTAACGTCGCCGCGAGGTTCGCGAGACGGACTACGGCACCGGAATGGAGAGCTCCGCAAGCTCTCGCGCAACGCGACGCCAGAGCCTCCATTCTCGTCTGCCGAGCGCGCCACGGTCGATTCCACGGATTACACTTCGGGGTTGCTGGAGGGTTGCTGCGAAACCCGCTGGCCCGGCGGAGGGTTCCTTTTGTGAAACCAGAACCGTGACTACACCATGGCTGCATGGCTCGCTTTGGCTTAAACTTTACTTTACTTCGTTTCTTAAGATGGGATCAGTTTGTTACGACATTAATACTATTTGATACTTTCTTCCCTTGAATTATTAAAAAAATTCATAATTAGTCTTCTTGAAAAGCTCTACTTAAAAAAGTTGCAACTTTTCAAGAAGGTATAAGAAAAGTAAAAGTATACAGATTATTCTTTTATTGGTTATTCTTTAACCGGTATGAATCTAATTGTAAGAGGAAGAAGTTTAACTGGAAAAATGTATTCAGAAAACCTTTCGGAATCACTATATCTTTTTACAGCGTAAAATTGTTAAATATTTTTATTAATTCTTTACATTAACTTCTAATATTCATTTTTTATTTCGTAGATCGACGTAATCTAACTTGTACAAAAGCTGCATAAAATATAATGAAGGAGAGCAAACTACTTTGTAACTATAATATTTATCTGTGTTAAAACTTGAACCTCTTTATAACCTCGACGAATTAGAACTTAATCCTATATATATAGTAGTGAGTGTCAGATAAATAATAATTAAAGCGTAGCACAAGTACATTAGAAATTCTCCCAAAATTGGAAAATTGAAGCGTCATAAAGCGTAATCCGGCCTCGCAAGCTGGAATGTCTGGAAAGCTCAAGCGTCGTCGAAACGCGCCGCGCAGACTCGTGGGGACGCGCGAAGAAAAGGACAGTCGGTTATCGATTCAGTTCTGCCAACGGATGGACCCTTTTGCAGTGACTTTAGGGCCGTCTAGGGACTTGTCGAGGAACGTATCGCTTCTCACAAAGCAGAAACCCGGTAGATCGATGTCCTCTCGAAGGACGTGCGAGCCCAAACGCGCCGAATAAACTCGCATCAACCGCAAGAGCTCGAGAGCTTTCGAGCTTTACGCCCAAGACCGCTAATTGGATTGCTCGATTACACTGCCACCGTATTCCACACCGTCTTCTGGCCGAGATCTTGAAGCTAATTAATCTTATGCGTGAATGGCGAGCCGGTGTATTCGAGCAAAAAGAGACCGCATAAAAGTCCAACGAGATGATTGCGAAAAGTTTTCAAGTATTGCATAAATTAAAATGGTATAATATATTACACTATATGTATGTAATACAAAATTTTCTTATATTCAACAAATATATATAATTTTTATACGCATTCTTATATTATATTAAAAATATTATGTATAATGTAATATAATTTTATAAATATCTATGCTTACTAAAGTCAACATAAAATCAAAATGACTTTACTTTGATTTTTAATGTTAATATGCAGTCAAATTTTCTAATCAAAAATTATATCAAATTTGACTTGGTTCATTAAATAATTATGAATTTTTTTTTTAGATAAATAAAAACTTATACATCTCTCTCGTTGTCCTTTATCGTCAACTTCTTTAAAAGAACATTCCTTTTTGGTGCGTAAAAACAAGACTATTTGTCTGAATTTTTTAATACAAAATATCGATTTCAAATTTTGCACTTTTATTCTACGACAACGAGTATAATAAGAATTATTAAAAAATATTGATATTCGATATTTTAAAGCGTTTATCTCGAAATTGTTTTCAAACATGATATCTCCAAAATTATTGGACCAAATGTCTTCTACTTTAGTATATATTTTTAGTGTATGTCTATCTAGGTGATAAAAATTTTACATTCCCGAATTTTTAAAATGTCTTTTCCGCGGCAATAAAACTTTTTTTACAAAATATGCAATGTTAACTTTAAATCGGTCATTTTATCAATTTTCAATTTTTCCGTAAAAGTCGAGATATTACTCTACTTATACTATTAATAAATAAAATAAAAATAAGATTTTATATTTCAGATTATTATGAATCGCCATCGCAAAAAAGCAACTTTCCTTAGAAGCGCCTTCGTCATTATTTTACATTTTTAGAACAAATTAACATATTTTAATTAATTTTGTTTTTTATATATTATACATACATAGAATAAATAGAAACATAAAATAAATTTGTAAAACTTAAAATATATATAGGTATAGATTTAAAAAAAAATAAAAGTAATATAATTATGTTTCACACGTTGAAAAGGGAAAAGTTTCTTTAAATATATAATGTATAAACGTTTTTTTATTATGTTATACAGAAATATTCAATTATCCAAAAAAGAGTATTGTTTATTAAAAAATATTGCATCGGATTAAACGACAGTTGAATGTTCAAGTAGCGAAAAACTTTTTTGACACATAGAGGCTCAGGTGTATCTGCAGCGGACAATGTTGTTTATGAACGTTGACATTGTAATTTCGGATGTCTACAATATTGTGGTTTGATGCGTTGACGCTGTGTGTACGATTCGATATTCATAACATGACGCTGGTGGCTGTGAAATTTACAGCCACGAAACAATAAGATAATCCGAAGTGTCGAGATAGAAAAGTTTCACAAAATCTAAATTATTAAGTGATAAAAAAATTGTATTTTGAAAAATAATATAAAAATATCATAAAATATCATAAAATATTTAAATATCAAGCAGAAATATGCAGATGGCAAAGTAAATAATTTTACAATATAAAAATGAACAATTAACAATATTTTAAAATTTTTTATTTTGGATATTTTTTAAATCCATAAATATTAAAAATCTTTCGAGATTTAGAATTCAACAATTTTAAAATGTAATCGTATAAAATAATTTAATTCGATGATTCAATAATCTCATGTAAAGCGCATGTTTATTAAAGATTTTTTTAATTTAGTACATAAGTTATTAATTATTTTTACATTTATATTTTTTAAATTCAACGATGTAATTGTCTAACATATAGCGCAATCTGTTAAATAATTTTATACTTTAGAAATAACAAAGCTTTCAACTTCCAATTCGAAATTATAATATTTTTTATGTGCAAACGAACTTTTTATGTGATGATTTTTTTCCAATATACTCGGAGTACAAATTAATCATCAAATTCCAATGAAATTTTGCGAAACATGACCATTGCACAAGCATACGGTAAAATATCAAAAATCCAAAAATCATAAATTGTATTAAAATTCTGGCACACATCATTTTAGATTAAAATCTTTTTATGGTATAGCGAAATATTACACAATATATGTGAATGTTTACATGCAGAATTCTCTCATTTTCGCAGGCAGGCCAAACGGGAACATTCTCTCCTTACCGAATTTAACACTTATATTCGTCACGCTCAAAGTGTTACACGTTTAGAGTAATTCAACCGAAACGGAGTAAACGGAGCAAGCTGAGTGATATACTCGTGTTCCGCTGCTCCTTTTTCAGGGCTCTATTGTGATCTCGCATAGTCGAAATTCGACGAGATATATCAGAGGATTCCATCCTGCTGGCAGCATGCGGGAGCTTGAAACTTTTTCAACATACAGAGGGATCGGTAGAAAAAGTTTTCCCGGCGGGACTACTAATTTCGTTAACGGCCGAGTCCTCGAGTTCTTTGGCGCGTGAACGAAATTTATTCCACCACAAAACTCTTGAAAGGATAAAGACTTTCGGATATCACGTCGCTATCACTGTTGAAAAATATATTTGTAATAAATTAATTTATTTTCCCCGATCACTTTTTAAATAAATACAAAGATATTATACTTTTGAAATCAGTCAGGGAGCCATTAAGATAAAAGAAATAGTCTCAAAGAAGGTAAAAACATTCTAAAGAAATTTTTTAATGGTCCTCAAAGTTTCGATTCAAAAATTTGATTATCACGAAAACGAGAAAATATTCGAAAGAGAGTCCAAAGGGATTTCCAAGAATCTGTAGATCTCAAAAAAACCTTGAGTTCCAAGAATCCAATCCATTCTAAACGCGTTCAACCCGTTCTAATCCTTCGGAAGATGAATCGCCCTGTTGGGCATCCAGAAGACAGAATGCAGACGTTGCTGATGTCGTCTAAGAGTGCATGAAAGAAAACGACTCACCATGTCTCTCACCATTCGACCAAACCATGCTCTTTGTCAACCGAAGGGTGGACAGCCTCTCACCCGGAAGGTTTCAGCAGCGGAAATGACTGAGAACGAAATTCAATTTGCTCGACGAGACAAGGCTCGACGCGACGACATTGAAGACGTGTCTGAAGAGGTCGGTTAACCGGAAACCGTAGCTCGGTCGATGTTCTTAACGAGAACATCCAGAATACGCTGCGAGAAACTCTAAAGCTCACGTAATCGGATCGCACCGAATAATGGGAGCTTGCGAGGCCTATGA